AGAATATCAAGTGTGGACCTTACAGAAAAAAGTCTTTGAGTTTTTCAAGGAAGGAAAAATTGAAACATTTTAAACCTTTAAAATTGGTCGAAGGATAGAACACAAAGTTCTATTAATTAAAGTAGAGACTCATATTAACCATGGGTAATGAATATCTGAGTCTCCCAGAGAGGAGAGAGAAATGAGTCTCAGCCCCTCATTCTTTTCTTTTTGTTCTCAGCATCAGGGCAGAGCCAAGAGGAGAAGGAAAGGTGGAACATCGAAAGGTAAAGTTCTGCCTATTCCACCTGATCTCTCCAAGGGTGACCCTTCCTGTCCTTTCCATGAGGTCCCATGTCCATGATCTCTGAGGACGTCACTTGCTAGATACAGTCCCTGTCAGAACCCAGAGCTCTCAGAGTAGAGGCTCATGGGAAGGCAGTTGGAGCCTGAGACACTTCTCAGATTCCCTGCTCTGCCCGTTGCTGGGCTTGAAGCAGTGATGGACCTGGGCAATGGGTGTTTCCCAGCAGGTGGCCATGTGAGATGTTGAGAGTCAGAACTTCTGTGTCCTGACTTTGTAAAAGTCCTTTGACTTCCTGGATGATCAGATTCCTCTTTGAGGTAAATAACCATTGAGCTATGTTTCTCAAAGGGTGGTTCTGAATATCACATGGGATAACACTTATAAAAGCCCTTTGTGAATGATAAAGCAACATACATGTTTGAGCCTTGTTATTATTATCATTGACCATGTGATCCTGTATCCTAATTCTTGGGGCTCTCTAAGTCCAATCCACCAAGGGTCCCACTAAAGGACATTCTACTCAGCCTCCTGTAAGGTCTCTTTTTCATCACACTCCTGGTTTCTTAGGTTCAAGAGCTTGCCAGAGCGAAGCAGAGGAGGAAAGGAAGGTGCTTTCTCTTCTACAAAGGTGACTAAACATTACCTTGTTTCCTGTATCCCTCTTTTTAATGGAGTATTTGAATTTCTAGAGCCTCAGTGAAGCCTGGGATTGACATGGGAGAGAAAATCCTCAGATTCAGAATGGGAAAGCCTTGGAGAAAGGGATAAAAGATACACTGTGAGATTAAGGAAGTAAAAGAATGTGAAAGGATAGTATACACTGGGCAGCCATATTATTGCCAGAACTGCCAGGGTTTCATGTTTGTTCTGGTCCTGGCTGAAGCTTT